TTGTGAGATCTATGAAGGCCACAAAGAGTGGCTGTTGTTGTTCCCTACATTTCTCCTGCAATTGTCTGAGGGAGAATACCATGTCAGTGGTGGATCTATGAGATCGAAATCCACACTGTGATTCTGGATAGGCTCTGTCTACAAGCACCTGGAGCCTCTTCAGCACAACACGGGCAAGCAGCTTTCCTACAACACCGAGAAGAGAGATGCCAGGGTAGTTATTGCAGTCGCCCCTGTCTCCTTTGTTCTTATACATTGTGGTGATGTTTGCATCCTTCATGTCCTGTGGTACTCCACCTTCCCTCCAGCAAAGACGAAAGACTTCATACAGTTCGGTAGTGATGATCTCTTTACAGCAGTTCAGCAGGGATGTTATCCTTCCCAGGTGCCTTGTCGGAAGTGAGGGAATCCAAGGCCACTTTTATTTCTGCTAAAGTTGGGCAAAGATGAAAGACTTCATACAGTTCGGTAGTGAAGATCTCTTTACAGCAGTTCAGCAGGGATGTTATCCTTCCCAGGTGCCTTGTCGGAAGTGAGGGAATCCAAGGCCACTTTTATTTCTGCTAAAGTTGGTTCGCTGTCCAACTCTTCCAAGACAGAAGAGAGCTCTAGCAGCATACAAAGCCTGTCCTAGTGAGTACAACTTGCAGGCTCTTCGAGCTGCTCGTAGCAAAGTCCAACAGGCTGCCAGGAGATATTCTAACGATTATTGGCTTCAGCTCTGCTCTCAGATACAGATAGCAGCGGATACAGGTAACATCAAGGGAATGTATGGTAACAAGCAGGCTTTAGGTCCAATACAGAAGAAATCTGCTCCCTTGAAGCAGCACTTTGAAGTCTGCTACAGGCATGATCATCCAGGACCAAGCACAGCAAATGGACCGCTGGGTGCAGCACTACTCTGAACTGTATTCCAGAGAGAATGTAGTAACTGAAGAGGCATTAAATAATGTCTTTTCATATTCATACAGACAGTATTGTATCATTGAATATGCATTCAGTTTTTCACAGCATGATCTTTAAGCTTCTTATAGTGATAATAAGCCAATATGAATTGATAACAATGTTCATGATACATACCAAGATTTTAGAATTAAAATTTCATTAGCTCATTTGGTCTGTTCCAGTTCCGACTACTGATCAAAAGCACAGTTTCAGGAGGAGTGATATACATTTATTTTCAGCTAGCAGCTGGATCAAGGACAATTTAGATAATCTGCACGGCAGTGCTGCAGCAAGGGCAAAAAAATTGTTTCTTCATTAAGCCCCAAATGGGCTAGAATGTTCAGTCTCAATATCCAGTTGATTTCCTTTCTGCATAAGGACTTCTTATACATCACAGGGATGTATAAGATGTACACCCACAACCTAAAATTTTAACTCTCTTTCTAAATGGTTGAATTCCATAAAGTGACTAATGAGGACTATCCAGTCTTTTATTTCTCAGGTTACTCAGATGTTCTTCCACATGTGTCTTGAGGGATCTAGAGGTCTTACCTATATACAGTTTATTACAGGGACACCTTATAGTGTAGATCACTTCCTTAGTATTGCAGGTCATGAATTTATTTCAGATATATTTCTTGCCATTCTGTTGATCTTAACATTCTGTCATATGATGTGTATTTTTACAGTAAGCACAGTAGCCACAAGGATGATATACTGTGGGAGGGGAAGAATCAAGCAAAGTGTTATAGATTTGTGGTGGTAATCTGTCTCTAAACTTACTCCTAATTTACATATCTCCTAGGTTTCTTGCTTTTTAAAAGGAGAGCTGTAGTCTGTCTTCAAAACCTTCTTCACTCTCCAAAATGTGTCGATGTCTTTTAATGCAACAAAACCTTCTTCACTCTCCAAAATGTGTCCATGTCGTTTTATGCAATTCTTTAATTTGTTAGTAACATGATCATATGTTAAAACACAGTTGATATGGTGTGTGATTTTTTTTTTGTTTTTTAAAAGATGACTGCATTTGGTATTGATGGCTTTAGCTATTATTTATCACCTGATGTGGGTACATTCAAGAGTGATGTGGCTTTATTTGAACCAGACTTTAGTCTGCATGGGAGGTTAAGCTTGTAACTCTGAGCCTACAATGATTATCTATTTAGAATCTGGAAAAGATCCATTTTGAAATACAATGCCCAGAACACCACATGGCCATTCTGGATGTAAAAATGTAATTTTAAAACTTTAGGGATAATCATGAAAACTGTTTCTTAAACTCTGGAGAAACAGAATAGGTGTTTGTCTAAAAATCTGACCCATTTCTTACTTAGCAAGAATTCTAACTCTCACTTTTGGTAGAATTTGCTAGCATCCATATTTAACTGGAGCACTACTCTGAACTGTATTCCAGAGAGAAAATAAATAAATAAAAATGAATAAATACAAAGTTTTTTCCTTCTGCAGCTCAGGAAGTGGCTGATGAAAGTCAGGAAATTCTACAACTGGCTTTGAAGGAAGAAGAAGAAGAATTCAGAAAAAGATGTGAATTGATTCAACAAATAAGAGCTATCGAGTATGTGCCATCCCTGAAGAATAAATTTGTTGATTTAGCCCAGGCAAGTTCATAAGGATCACTACACAACAGGATTGTAACTATTGTCCTCATTAAAGCATAGGCTGCTTTTTTCTGAAATTCCTTGGCATGTTCCCAGTAGCCAACATATAGTTGGATTATGATCTCTAGCAACTCTTCTTTTTCTGAATCCATATTTTTAAATTATTTTTATTTATTTTATTTATATCCCGCCTATCTGGTCAATTACTATCACTCTAGGCGGCTCACAACGTAAAATACACAGATAAAAAAATATTATTATTATGTAATAAACAAATTCGAAAAGATGGAAGGTGAACAATAAGAGAAGAGAGGAAAGGAAAACATCAGGGATTAACTGGAGGGAGGGCCTGCCAAAACATCCACGTTTTTAT